CCTTAGGAAAGGATTCAGAGAAGGGTTACTAGAATGGTGTCTAGGATGGAGAAGTTGTCATACGACAAGAGGCTGAAATCTCTCAAATTGTTTTCTCTTGAAAAAAGAAGTTAGGGGGGATCTCATTGAGGTGTTTAAGATTGTAAAGGGAATTGATAGTGTTGATGTATCATCTTTTTTTATATTTAACAATGAGAATAGTAGGACTAGAGAACACAAATATAAATTTTTCCAAAGTAGGAGTCATTTTCAGCTAAGGCAGTTTTATTTTTCTAACAGGGTGGTTGGCCTTTGGTATTGGTTGCATTCAGGTGTTGTAGAGGCAGTAAATTTAAGTGGGTTTAAGAAAAAGCTTGATAAGTATATGAATGAAAAGGGTTGGGTTTAAAATTTTATTATTAATATTATTTTTTAATCATTTTAATTTAGTTTAGAGGATGGAACAGCCGAGATGGACCAATAGGTCCCAAAATATTATGTTATTATGTAATAATCAAATATCAGGACTACTAACTCAACATATTTGGAATAGTCTGTTACCAAAACACAACGTGCATGTGAGAATGTGGTACCTAAAGGAATGAAAAACGATTTATATCATATTCTGGTGCTACAGAAGTGACACAATTTATTTGATATTCTGGTACCTAGAGGGAGAAACCATATATGTCATAATGTTATGTAAAAATGTAATTGTTGTGCCAGAGTAACTTTAACGTTTTTAAGGCTCGGGTATGGAATTTTTTTCAGCACATGGAGAAAGTTGTACGGCAGAAGGAGCTAGAATCTCAGCTAGCCAAAGCCAAACTGGCTAAGGCTAGTATAGAGCTGAAACAGGAACGAGAAAGTTATTTAAACGAGAAGCAGCAACTACTAGAAAGTGTCAGTGAGCTGCAGAAACGTTGTGCAGAGCTTTCTTCCAATGAATTGAAGTTGCGTTCAGAATTGGTGCTTTATACTAACAAGTATGAAGAGTTTCAAACGATGCTTGCCAAAAGTAATAAAGTTTTTACTTCATTTAAAACTGACATGGACAAGGTAGGAATATTACTTAAATATTTATTTAACAATTTCTTTAAAAAACTGCTGTATAGTTTGCCTTATTTTGATAAATAATGAAAAAAAATAATAGATTTTATCATCTTGTTGGTTCAGTGTTTTAGGTTTAGTTGTTGTTGTTGTTTTTTAATTAGAGGTTTTATTTATATTACTAGAAAGAATAGTATTTTTTTGGTGAGATAATTAAAAGTTTTGAGGATGAAAGTAGAAAGAACAGTGATAAAGACTACTTTGTTGTTAAATAATTCAGATTTTGTTTATATAACTAATGAAAAGTAATAGCTGTTTTATATAGTACAGGTGTAAGTTCTTATCTTTTTTATAAATGAAATAGAATTCATTTTTTAGCTGATTCCGGGTTGTAGTATTGATCATACTAACAGTGGTGATTCATCCTTTTTTTAAATGTTCTTTTCAAATGAAGCAAACATTTAAAAAATTACTATGTATTAACTTAGCACTGTAAAGATTTTGAGTTTTACTTCTTTCCCATGAAACAGATGTCAAAGAAAGTAAAAAACTTAGAAAAGGAAACCAGCCAATGGAAATTGAAGTGGGAAAATAGCAACAGAGCCCTTATAGACATGGCTTCTGAGGTAAAAAAAAAATAATAATTAATATTTGAAGAATTCTGATGTTTCACTTATACTTTACCTCATCCAATCTTATAGTTTGTATAATATTCTGTATTTCAAATATGTGTTTCTTAAAGCTGCTTTACTTATAATTGTAGAATATAATTTAGGACTAACTTAAATCTCATACGCTGGCTAACTTCATGAGATATTGTTGATATCTGAATACTACACTCATTTGACCTTTTTTTTTTAGAAATAGTCTTAAGTCGTTTCAAAAACAGAGGGATAAAAGGGATACATATTAATTTCAGATGTTAATGTTTTATCCAAATACCCTCCTAGACAACGAATTATTTCATTCTGAATTTTGGGACTCAAGTATTTTATGGAACTTTTTGACATATTAAGAACTTGCTTCATAATATCATTTTATTTTACCATCAGTTCTACTTGTAACAAAAAAATTCCCATTATATTCTTCTCCTAATTGTTTGTGATGACCACGAGACACTAAGGAATTTTTTGAAAACATAAATGTTATGTTAAATAATCATTCTAGTACCCTTTTATAAAAAGGTGCCTCATGTTGAATTTTAGCCTCTGCCTCTTTATCAATAGTTTGTTTTTTCTTCCAGTGATTGTAAACAGAACATGCTTTAATATGCATAGTAATGCAACTGATTATGTTAATTTTGTTTTAAAGGCTTTTCCAATCCTGGATTCCAGTAGGTCTAACTACCATACTTAGGCCACTTTCAGTGACTTTTTGGTACAAGGAAATGTGCAATAAAACATTGTGTAAAGTATTAAAACTAATATAAATGGATAGTGTTTTTCTCACTTTATTACTATACATAATTTTTATTCACAATGTACTTGTAATAGTCTATCTAGTATTTATTGAAAAAGACACTAACATTACAATTATTGAGAATACAAACTATGACCTCAGTGTGCATTGCCTTCACCTAAGGATTGAATTACAAAACTTAAGAAACTGTATATAAATAACTGATTTCAAGAACAACAACTTCAGTAAAATAAACATGCAAAAAAGCACATTAATTCATTAACTTTCTGTGCATTATAAACAACAGAATATGTTTATACAATCAAAAAACAATAACTTACTCATCTCAGAGAAGCGTACATTAGAAAGGTTTTTGTTTTGACTATTTAAAAGGAAAATAACTCTAGCACAATGGAAACTAGATTATGTGAAAGAATATAATTCCAGGTTTCAAATAATATGTATAATGACTTTGGTACCTTAAGAAAAAAAATATAAGTAAAAAACAAATCATTTAATCAGATCACAGTTCTTGATACCTCAAAATTCAATATAAAAACTTGCCAATTTACCCTCAGATGTAAAAGTGTGTATCTATTCAAAGTATCAAAAAATGCTGAAATACGATGCTAAATGTGTTGTCTTGTGATTTGATAGAAATAATGTATGGTGAGTTAGTAAAAATGAAAATTAGGTCATACTTAATTCTCATTGCTGTCACCAATCAATAAATAAATGCATAGTATTACCAATAATGGAGATGATCGAGTATTTCATTTTAATTCTTTTGCCCCTCGCTAGAATGTTATTCTATAATTGTGTTGCATCCTCCATGACTTACTCAAGTGAACAATTGTCTTCTGACTCACCTGCAAGCTTCTTGCTTGTAATGATGCATAGTGTACCAATATTAGCTTGTGAGTTACTACCACCACTGCGGTATTGTGAATGGCTAGCATTCTCGGTGCCTTTTCCTAAGCAGTACTAAAACTGTGGCAGAGAAACCCTGATATAAACATTAATTGCTATACTGTCTAGCTCTCATTTCCCCTTAGTCCCCCACCCCCTATGCATTGCGGTCCTTACTGCATGGTAGTTATGTCAGCTTATATTTAGGTAACAGGATATATCAATACTGTCAGCTAGCTTGTTTTTAGATTAATAACATGATAAATCAATACTTTCAGCATGTTTTTAGGTGAGTAACAGGAGAGATCAATACTGCCAACTTGTTTGTAAGTGAGTAACAGGAGAGATCAATTCTGTCAGCTTGTTTATAAGTGAGTAACAGGATATGATCAATACTGTCAGCTTATTTTTAGGTGATTAACAGGATAGATCAATTCTGTCAGCTTGTTTATAAGTGAGTAACAGGATATGATCAATACTGTTCGCTTATTTTTAAGTGTATAACAGGATGGATCAATATTTCAGCTTGGTTTTATGTAGGTAACTGAAAAGTTTATCATCTTAAGCTTTGTTTTGGTGAGTAGTTAGATAAACTATCAGTGTTAGTGTGTTTTTAGATGATAGATTTGATCTAAGCTTTGTTTTGGTGAGTAGCTAGATAAACTATCAGTGTTAGTGTGTTTTTAGATGATAGATTTGATCTAAGCTTTGTTTTGGTGAGTAGCTAGATAAACTATCAGTGTTAGTGTGTTTAGATGATAGATTTGATCATTAACGTTAGTTGTTTATAGATAAAAAAATAGGCAGATATTTTTTCATTCTCTTGTTTTTTGGTGAATAACAGAAAAAACAAATAGTGTTAGCATATTTATAGGTAAAGTACAGGGTGCATTATTAATGACAGATATTTGTCCATTTAGAATGGACATTGATATCATAAAAAGGTTAGTGAAAATTAAATGCTGTAGCATGAGTGGCCAAGTTGTGATCTTTAATTTGGTTTGTTTACAGTTTGCTTCTAATATAAAGTGTTAATCAGGATAATCATATTCCCAAAAATAAAAAATTTCAACTAAATATTTTAGTAAATTTTTTACTAGCTTTTTACCTAATTCTGTGTCGTATATGTACCAAAAAGTGTCCATTTTACAAAAAATAAGTTTATTGCAGGAAATTTTTTACTTCTGAAGTGACGTTTAGCAGTAACTTCCTGTTTATTTACCTCACAGAAACAAAAGCAAGATCAGCAGCTTATTGTGGCACATCAGCGTATACTTACTTTGGAAAAATTGTGTCGTGCTCTCCAAACTGAAAGAAACCAGCTTCAAAGCCAGCTGAAAAATCAAACCAGTGATTCTCCACAATGTTAGTTATATTTTCTTGTTATTCTAAATAAAAAAGAAAAACAACTAGTTTGATATACAATTATGATGACAACTAATCCAAGCATGCATCTAATTGAAGATACATGGTTTCAACAGTCTTGTGTGCTTTTTGAAAAAAAATATGAAAGACAGATATAAGAAATTGAGAAAATTATTAGAATGAAAATCTCGTTATTTTAAATTATACTACTTGTCCATTTTTGCCTTTAGAGTAGATGCAAGTTGTTTCTCTACATAAAATATAAAATTATATCAGGTTTCATCTATGTTTCAAGCATGAGCCATATTTTATGAATGATAGTAGTAATTTTGTTAGATAAAGCATGTAAAACAAAGCAACTGGAAATATTTCCAACTTTTTTTTTAATGCAAAATTTTGATTCACATTTCATATTTTAATTAAGAAAATGTTTGTGACAGAAAAACAAAAAATAAATATTTTGGAGAGACCATTTAACCCTCGAACTGATGACAATTTTTTATATTGTTTCTTACCATTGGAGTCCTGTATTGTATCACTAGCAAACCTGTGGGCCTATGGCACACATTTACAAAGCCACTATAATGCAAATTTAATGCTTGAAGTACCGTTTTGCACTTTTTAAGTTTAATGATCATTGCTGCTATAATGCAAGTTTAATTTCTTTAACAAAGTTACAAAAGGTTATTAGTAGGACTACTTAATTACATGCACTAATGTAAATCAAATTTGTGGTCCATTTTTGGGGAATCTAAGGGTTTGGGTGAAAAGTTTTACATTTGTGCAAACTTCAGGGCTGAGATTATTCGTTTGGCACTATTTAGAAGTTGGCAGGTTGAACAGTTTAAGAGAAGGGAATTTTTGAAAATCCCTGGGTTCTCTGAGGGGTGGGGTGAAAAATTTACTCTCGTGCAAACCTCGGGACCAAAATGGTTCATTTAGAAGTTGGTGTGACCAGCAGTTTAAGACGAGTTAAATGACACACACAGACACTGAATCCTATTAAGTAATTTTATTATTTTACCTGTTACAACACTTAGTGTAAAGAACTGAATAGCAGTAATAATATTCTATTACATTTCACTATATAAGGGTTAAAACATAGATAAAAAGCTCATGCTTACTTCAACTCCAAGATGGTCTAAGTGCCTTTTTTCATTTACAGTGGAAAAGAACAATGAACACCATGAATGTTGTGTTTCCTGTACACCAGAAAAGGAGAATCCAGCCATTTCCACACAAGAAGTTAATTTGGAGTAATAGTTGTTCAGCATTTTCATTCAGCTACAGTTGGAAGCAAAGCATATTAGATTATGTGTGTGTTTACCAAGATGTGTTAGTATATCTGTTCTCTGTGGTTATTACCTTTTGGTATGGGAGTGTTCTACATTGTTATGAGTTTAAGTACAGCATTGAAAATTGTTGCCACCATTTAGTAATGCCTATAAGTCTTAATTTACAACTAAAAGGCACAATGGCCCAGGAATATAAGCTCTTGTGTGTTTTGGATTTGGTTTTAAGACCATCAAATAATTTTTCTTACCTGAAAATTTTAGTTAGTGTAAAACCATTGTGAAATAAATTGATTTTGTCTGAATTACCAGAACTGTATTATAACATAAACATGTAAATGAAGTACTTGTAATAAAGTGCCAAAATTTACTGAAATAGATATTAATCGAACTGTAAATTCAAAATACATTTTTAACCACACCAGTTAAGTCATTTTAAATTCACAAAGACTTGGTTATGTATCTCGAGTTTTCACATAATTATAAATCTTGTCAAACCAGTGAACTGTTGTAAATTACATTATACTAATTACAGTATTATATGCGTAAAACTAATTATTGGGTTATCAGTGTTCCAGTAAAATACCATTAATAATAATAAAGTTGTACTTTCTATGTTGATCAGTTGGGAAGTACTAAACTGATCAGTTTACAAGTTTTGAAGAATGTTACTCTAATTCTCTTTCAGAGGGTTATCAGCTCTTGTTCAGTTACACTTGTTTGATCAGTCTTTACCACATTTAAAGACAACCAATAATGTTTTATCAGTTTTTCATCTTGTTATTGGTTGGTTTTAGGTTCTTACATGCAAACTCAAGTTTTGATGATAATCACTGAATGGTGTTATCTGTGTAGATTTACTTGGGTTCATCATCATCATCATGGTAACCAGAGAAGCGCTTCATTACTTTCAGTTTCTGCTGAAGCAAAAATGATGCTGCATTATGACACATAAATCTTAGTGTTTCTACTAGCATGAGAAGGTGTTTATCCTATCTCTAACGTCTCATACTTAATTAAACGGCTCAGCACCATCATTCCATTTAAAAAAGGGAAGTGTTTTGTACTTGTTTACTTGGTTCAAATATTTCAGCACAAGTTCACAAACCACCTTCCTAACTTAGTGCAGAATTTAATATTGCATCACCTTAGAACAGTATTCCTCTGCAAGAAACCATTGATTTATGTGTTACGCATCCTCCTCCCTGATTTAGTAAATGGTATACCTTCATAATTTCTGAAGTAATGTCACATTTTTTTCAAGGTATTTATGATCAGGTTAAGTTTGTGTGTTTAAGATCATTTGTTACTTGAAAAACATCAGATTGTCTTTAATCAATGTGCATGGACTTGTTCCATTGAAACAAGCATGTACTGGAGAAGTAATGTTATAGTTCTGACATTACTATGTGTATCTTCATGAAACATGGCAAGCTTTTAGTAAAAAGTACATGTTTGTTGCACACAAAAAACCAGATGTGTTAGAAAAGTATTGAAATTGATAACATCAATCTAACTTGGACTATGTGAAGTTGAAGTGCAAGCCGATGTTCATTTGAAGAACAAAAATACTTTTGTCCATTGTAGTTTTCATATTAAATTTACAATACATACCTACAGATTTTTTCAGTATCCCTCTATAGTGTATGTTATTTACTCTTCTCTACCACAATCTGCTGCTAAATCAACAATGTAGGTAAGTTAAGTAGACAATGCATTATATATCAGTCACATAAGTCAGTGAACAGTTGACATCCGAATACTAATTTACAGTAGAAAATGATTTAAGGCTGCCTTTTTTGAATAATGTATGTAATCAAAGTAATATAGTTGTCAAGATAAGTAGAAATCATAACCTATTTAGTAATTGCACATCAACCTTTCTGGTTCCTAATATTTAACAACTAATATGGTAACTACTATACTTATAAAAAATTGTAGCTAGTTACATTATTGCACAGAGAAATACTGAGTATTGGAAGAGCTTCAAACTTAAGCATTCAGTGTTGATTTTATAAGATAAAAGTTCCTTTCTGTGCTGGAAGTGGCATCATTAAACTCCCATTGTCAGTATCATTCAGTTTAGGATGACAGTTGATAAGTAATAAGTGTGATGCCTAACTCCTGTTATTCTATCATAGATAAAATAAAATTGGCTATAATTGTACACGTAAACAGTGAATGTAAAACAAATTTAAGTGAAAAAAAAATTGCATTACATTTTTCAAACATATACGTACTTGAATACTTTATATACATTGTGTCTACAACATTTAAAGATAAGTCATTAAATTTTACCGTAATACATACCTTGTGTTTATATTCACATATAATTGAATTTCATTGCAATGCAGTGATTTATAATACAGGTAAGGAGGATGCTTCCTGAAACTTGAATTTCAATGAGGGGTCACTTTTATCTATAACACACAAAACAATCTTATGCCAATCAGTAAAATTAGTACAAGATGTCAAAAAAATTGGGAATTTTAAAAGCTGCAAATAGGAGTTGTAAAAAAAAGCAAACAAAGCTGGAGATACTTTAGATGCTATTTACTCAAACTACAAACCCCTATTTTGACTCCATGCTGTTTCCTAGAATTCCATTTGGTGGAGTCAAAATAGGGATATGTAGTTTGAGTAAATGTCTACAGTATCCCCAGCCATATTTATTGGCTTTTCGTATGCTCAACTATGGGCAAAGGATTACTTGATATAGTAACTAACTTTATACATTGTAATGATAATAAACATAGCTAGTAACTAGCTGATATGGTTCATGATGATTTACTGTAGCTATTGGCTACACAATCACATTAAATAAAATGTTAAGCTACAACCAGATATTGTCATGGAGATTTGTTTGAGTATATATGGAGCATTTATAGTTTCTTTGTAACTAAATTCTCTATATATAATGCATAGCAATGAGAAAATATATGCCTTGGCTAAGGCACAACCTCATTAAGTGCGTATAAAATTTTACCTGCACAAAGACAGCCTTTTCAAATAAAACATTACTTTAAATAAACTTTTATGTCTTTTAAAGTAATTATTCTACATATGTGTGTAATAAACTTTTATTTTATGTATTGAATTATTTTTTTACCTCACTTCATACATAATGTAGGGGTTGGCTCCCTAAAGATACTTAAATAGAGTACAAAGCATTGAGTATCTACATGTTACAGTTATCTAATGTTCATCTTTTATTGGCTGGTAGTTTAAAATACCAGATATTTATAAGAAAGCTAACTTCAAGGGGTAACACTAGAATTATGACTTTTTTTAGCTTATGTAGAATATAGAAGAAACAAATAACTTTTCAATATTCCTACAACCTTCACAGTACCTTTTTTAGTATTCTACCAAAGTTTTGGGTGCAATATACCAAGCTATTTTTGTTGTAGGCTGACAAGAGAATAATAATAAACAGGCAGATTTTCTTTTCCTTGGAAGTCTAACGTGTGCTTTTTTGTGCACAGTCAAAGCAGTTAATAGTAAAGGTTTTACAGTGTTATCTGAACTGAGTCCTTTACTGTTTAAGGTGCTTTTTGCCCAAACGTTATGTTAGGGTTTTGTGAAATTCTTGCAATCCCTATTATGAACCACTATTGCAGTTCATGATAATGCAAGTATAATATGAGAAGTTGGACAAGATCATTCTGTTCTTCTTATTGAATCATGATCCAGGGAAATATACAGTTATTGTACAGTTTTTTATATAAAGAGGGTTCATACACTTTTTCTAGACGTTCATTCTCTTATAGTTTACTAATTAAACAAACTGGCTCTGTATCCAAAAAAATGCTGTCACTGTCAACTTCCTTCCATAGTCTTGTTCTCTGTTACTGAGTAAATGCTTGTGTAATAATGTGGTTGGGTCTCAACTAACAATTAATCAAGCAAACCACATTCTCATGTGGAATTTAAGCAAAACTTTCCACTAAAAATGAAGTTTTTGCTTCAATTTTTCATTTTCAGCTTAAGCAGCTTGCTGTCCAGCTCTTGTTTGACAGCTGCTTTCTCTTTTACAATCTCAAAGCATTTAATTTCAAAATGAATTTTCTCGGTGAAGTTGTCAGCAGATAATATGAGAGCATTGACATTTTTTCCATTCTTTCTCTCTCTCTCCTTGAGTTCACCCACCCCATCCTTTACAGGTTCTTTTCATCCTCTCTGCTTCTCATCTTGCTTGCACTTTTCTTTAATAATATTAAGAAAAACATTATAAAGTCTAAAACACCAGTATAATTCATAAACAACAACACTGGGAATCTAGAATTGATTAATGACAAGAGGGCTAGGTTGATACTTAGCATTGACTACTTGTGTCTTCACTCCGAGGTTTCCAAAATTCATAAGATATTGCAAAGTAATGGCTATCCCCTTAATTTTTTTACAAACTATCACATGAACACTTTTAAAAAAAAAAATTGAATCTACTAAGAAGCCTCACACTAATTTTGAATATCTTCTAGTTCTGAACACTTATTTCATATGTAGTTTTAAAGTCAAATCCAGAGATAAAAAAATTATCAAAACATGCTACTCTCAAATTAAGCAACATTGAGAAATCAAAAATGTTCATGGGTCATTTATAAATTACACTTGTGGTAGCTATAAAACTAAACATCACCTACAAACACATGGGAGTTTTAACTAGTAGTGGAAAAAAAAAAGTTAACTAATCCACCCAAATCTTGTATTTGATTATATAATGACTATAACCACCACACGCTTAAGGAAAACTTAAAATTCTAATCTGCACCATAACAGATCAAAGAAAGCTTTTCCACTTTTGATGATCACCGAACACTCATTCCTGGATTCCCATTGTATTAATTTTGGTGTTTTCTTAATATTATTACACATTCAATTACATTGTTACCATATAAAGTTCTGTTCTTTCTAAACTCTTTATTGTATCATAAACTTCACTTAATAACTGCTGTTTTAAGTGGTCAGAAATTTGTAAATATCAGGTTTAAACACTCATGAGAGTATTTGAAACATCCCTCATTAAAGATGTTTTTATAGTATTACCATGTATTTAATTTTTATTATAAAACATTTTTATAATTTATGAGAATCTTAAAATTCATTTTCTCAACATTTCTTTAATGTATTCAACACTGGTTGGCAACCTCTGCCACAGATAAGTGAATACTATTTTTAACTCATTTGATTACAGAAGGGTGAGGTGGAAAATAGTTAAATTCCCTTCCTTTAGGTTGTTTAGAAATCAAGAAAAATGAAGCAGTTCTCAGCAACAATTGTGTATGTTATCATCAGTGCTTTGTGCTTCTTTCCCTCTACATGGCTACTTCCATGCTCGACCCTTGAACACTAAACACACCGCTTCAGTTCTCGAACTAGGTTCAAAGGCAAATGAGTGTTTGTATTTATTTCTAATTCATATACCAGAAAAATCTCAATTTTCACATATTAACTTGTTACTTTGGAGATTTCTGGGCTGTCACAGCCTTCCATGACTGATTTTATTCATAGAAATTTCCAATTACCACTAGTACCAACCAATTTTGATAAAACCTCCCTCCAGGAATTTTCATACTTCTGTGATACCCATAAAATTTTGGACTTTTTTAAACTTTCAAGCCTTAGAAATCAGGTTGGCATCTTTCCAAACTTCCACACGTTTACAAAACCATTATAATGTAATAGCAAAAACTTTTATCCCTCAAATTGAAGTTTCCCTAAAGATATTTTAATTTTTTAAACTTTTAGATCACGTTTTCACTATGCATAGTCACAGCCATGACAATTTGTATTTAGTTGGTTTTAATTAACATTGCTAGAATAATTGAACCAATTACTGTTGCTTGCTGTCCATTAAGTATGCGTTACCATACCTGGAGTATGCTCTAACTTTTCCTTGGAGTCTTAACAGATTTTCAATATTATTTATGTACTTTTCAAAGTAGAGTCAATACACTAATTATCCAAATGATTCCACCAGCAGGTGTTCCCGCTCAGTCCAAAACTTTGTTACACTCCACAGAAAATTAATTTCTTAAATCTACATAACATCCTCAGTGGGGTATATTTTTTTACATTCCACAAAATCCTGGCTTAATGTCTGGATTTAAAAATCAACAAATATTAATATTATGAAGCACAACATTTAAGCTATCCTAACAAGGTACAAATACTTCTGAAAAATATAAACTTGTAATTTAAACTAATATTTTTGCTAAATCTTAAAACAGACTGGTCATTTAAAAGCTGGTTATGGAAATGTTTCAGTGTTAATGATATATAAAGATACGATTCATGTGAAATTAACTTATTCAGCACAGGCTTAGTCCCCAGGACCAACCTCGTTTTCATGCTATAATTTTAAATTAGTAAGAGCATGTTCACGAAATTTGGCAGATTATCAGTAAATGTAACAAGGCTTTCATACACAAAATATCAGATTTTTTAAAATTACGTCTCAAGGTTTTTTTTAAGTAATGTTTCTCTCATCCCCTTTTTTTGCATGTTGCCTATCCAATTAATTTTAATTAAGATTAAAAATACTTTTATGTATCAGAAAATTTTTCAGATAATTATCAAACGTTTTCTAAGAAAAAAAACAAACTATTTTATCTGTGTATTTTCACTGTTGAATCTCTGTACAGATTCAGTAATTTTGACCGATCTCATAATCACCATAAAAAATTAGGATATAAATATAATTATGCTTTTTTCATTCTAGAATGACTACAAATTATAGCTCAAAATCACAAATGTTTAGTCTAAATAGCTTAAATGTCATAACATTATACATTTAGTATTTATTATATTGTCCTTTCAGCCGTGCCTGGCTAACGTCACAGAAGTTACATGTGCACTCATGTTACCGTATCCAATAATATTAAACTGACCTTTAGTCTTTACAAAGTGATCTCTCTTGGCCGTGTTTTAGTAGACCAGTATTTTGTAAAATACATTATACTCGATTGCTGCACCTTTCAAAATTTCACACGTGAAGGATATGAAACAAAATAATTTTTTTGGGTTTATATATATATATATATATGTATGTGTGTGTGTGTGTGTGTATATATAGTTGAATAACCAAAAAATCAAATTACTACATTGATACTATAGAATTCCACTATAATTTATCAAGCTTAGTAACTAAGCTCTATTTGGGTCTAATAAAATATGAAATTTTGAGCAGACTAAAGACTAACTTGAAGTCTTGTATCAAAAGAATGAGTTGAATACTTGAAAATGGCTGATAATCCCATTAGGGGAACATTCTGAGCTTTCGATTGGTTATTCATGTCATAGAAGAGCAATTGTATACAAGGAAATGTTTCCAAAAATGGAAAGAGGTGGGTGGGAGCACTGTGCTTGATTCAGTACATGAGCAATATCTCAATAACTAGAAAAGATGAGAGGTTCTTATTTTATATTCTAGCTTGTTGATATCGGTAATTTGAGTTCCTAATTCGTAAGGAAACTATAGACTTTGTATTTGGACATCACAAACATCTAATTTGAACCAGTGCTGCAATCAACGTATCACATGACACAAAAAATCGACATCTACGAGTGTTTTTTAATATTTACTTTTAAATTAAGAAATTAAATAATGTATAATACTAAAATTTGGATTATAATCTACAATTTGATACCAAACTTATTGACAAATTCATAAAATAGTAGTTCAATAAAATTTTGAATGCCAGTCAAATGTAATGACATGCCTTTGACCCATGTGGAGTGGGTTAATAAGCTACTCGCATGACTATCTACTAAAAGCTTGTGTAAATACCTTACTTCAACTTTCACAGTTATAGGCAATTTTGAAAATTTTAATACCAAGCTACACAATGGACTGTTTGCCACAGGTATCGACCCCATATTTGACATTTCTTATTTTAATAAAATTGTAGTAAAATAACTTATTTAAAAACCAATTAATAATAAATTATTAACATATATTATACTCAGTTTAAGATATTATTGAGAAACAAATAATAAGCTCAAAATATTTCTTCAGAATATTTTATTAAGTTCTCCACTTTACATGAAAACTATCTTGACAGCTTAGTGTTCTCTCTTTGCATGAAGACGTCGATCTCTCTCTTCAGCCACAGTAAGTCTGACACCCTTTCCACGAGGCAGAGAAATGTAAGGTTTGTTACCTTTTCCTATGGCAAAGATGTAGTTCAACCTACACAAAATGCAAAATGGCTTGAATTAAATCTTTAATTTTAACAATATTATTTTACATTATCATAAACACACCAACATAACATTTTCTAGTGAATTAAGTTATGTAAATACACAACTTTTTAATAAAAAATGCATTATTTTTCATAATTGATATACTTATAGCTATCCAAAATACAAAATCTGTCATTAATTACTAATAATGAAGTAAAACCAGCATTAATTTTACCACCAATGATATATTTTAAATGTGTGACATATCTGATTTAGACATTAATGGTCAAAATAGTAGCACCTCAGCAAGACTAATCAAACATTCACAGAGAATCATGAGTAGTAAAACTCATCACTGGCACCACTATTTTATTATGCTAATATCATCACAATCTAAACTGCATACTTACATGCATATCCAAAAAGGATACTTTACATAATTATTGTAGAATTAAAAAAAAACAGCTTTCAGAAAACAATTGATACACCCTTGTATACCTTACTTTATTTCTTCTCACTGTACTAAGAATATCCTTCTCTCATCATACTTTTGCCTTTATTTTAGTGCACATTTGCTATTAATTTATTAGCAGTTCCTCTTTTAGCTAGGATTTAATGTACAGTAATACAAACTACTTTCAAAAACAACTGCATTATAATACTTAAACGATTGTAAAATGTTTCTTTAAAAAACCACTTTTTTACCATTTGAATATAAACTAATAATGTGTAAATAAGATCTTTTCTACACACCTAGTGGCAAAAGTATGTCCCTGGGCATCTTTGACATGGACAATATCAAAGGAACCTGGATGTCGCTCTCTAGAAGTGACAATACCCACTCGTCCCAAGTTGTGTCCACCAGTCACCATACAAAGGTTACCTAAATATTACACAAAAATATACCTGACTGTGACAAAACATAACTAAGTAAATAAAAGACTAAATAGATTTTTGGATAATACTAAAAGACATTGCACACCAAAAGTTCTGAAACATGCATAATTGATGATTTAACTAAACCTTAA